TACCACTACTGTGCATGTGTGTCAAGGACAGAAAGGCAGATGTGGCAGTGGAAGGTGTCAAAGCAGTTTGAAGAGAAAAACAAAGTAAAGAACAAAAAAAAGAGAAAACGATTATTCGATTATTAAATTAGTCATCGATTATTTTAATAATCGATTAGTCGTCGACTAATCGTGGCAGCCCTAAAGCAAAGTAGCAAAGCATTTGTACTTCATTACTTGACACTTATGCTTATAACTTGTTTTGAATCATTAACCTAAATGATTCGGTAAAAAGATTCAAATCATTAACCTAAATGATTCAGTACAAAGATTCAAATCATTAACCTAAATGATTCAGTACAAAGATTCAAATCATTAACCTAAATGATTCAGTACAAAGATTCAAATCATTAACCTAAATGATTCAGTACAAAGATTCAAATCATTAACCTAAATGATTCAGTACAAAGATTCAAATCATTAACCTAAATGATTCAGTACAAAGATATTGTTTATTTTTGGCCACAGCTGTTACGAGAAAAAATCTTCATACTGAATCAGGACTCCTGAGTCTGAGGTCTTCATTAAGCTGAATATTGTTGCTAACTGCTAAGTTTTTGAGATAGAAAAAAAAAACAACTGAATTCATAAAAATGTGGACTCAGATGAGCTGAGTCACTGATTGAAGTTAAAGAAACAGCTGACTCAGATAAGTCTGTTTACAGACTTTATTCGAGTCAGTGAATCAAAGAAATGAGTTGAATGTTGCAATAAACAAGGGGTGAGTGAGAGGTGGCTAAGAAAAAAAAAATAAAAAAAATCAACAAGGGGTGAAACACACACTAGATCATGTGTCAAACACAAGGCCCGTGGACCAAATCTGGCGCTTGTTAACATTTTAACTGGCCCCAAAGACAATACTTTCATTGGTTTTCTATTTTTGTCACTGAATTTTGTGAATTCTTCTCATAACAAAGAAATAGACAACTTTCAAGCCAAGAAAATGAAGTTAGAATTTTTCAGTAATCTTTGATTTTGTTGTGGAAAAGAGTAACAGAGAATTGATTTTAGTCATTTTTTCTATGTTCACTTCTCATTTAAAGTTAAATAATTGGATACAGTTTTTTTACTTGACTTCCTTGTGATCATATATATTTGTACAAACAAACAAACAAAATAAAAAATGCTGATAGAGTGTAAGGCTGTGGTGTCCAAAGTCAGTCCTCAAGGGTCAGTGTCCTGCATGTTTTAGGTGCTGCCCTGGTTCAACACAGCTGAACCTAAGGAGTGCTTAATTAGTGGGCCTCTGCAGACCTAGATGGCGTACTGAGGAGGCCCACTATTTAAGCACTCCTTAGGTTCAGTTGTGTTGAACCAGGGCAGCACCTAAAACATGCAGGACACTGACCCTTGAGGACTGACTTTGGACACCACTGGTGTAAGGCATAAGAAATAAATGCTAATTATATGTCTTTTTAAATGTTTTTTTTTAATTTATTCATTGGGTTATGTATGTTCTAAAAGCTACATAAAACATAATTTGGAAAAAGGTCATTTCTATAAGACTAACAAATTGGTCCTTGACTTGGACAAAGTTTTGAATTTTGGCCCCTAACTGAGTTTGACACTCCTGGACTAGGTGATGTATCTTACATGATGATGACAGACTCATGTGACTCAGATCAAACCAAATTTACACCTCTAACATGACTAGACTAGAGGTAGACAGGTTGGCTTTCTGATTAAAACAGCTGATGGTCGCTACAACACCGTTTATCAGTCCAGTCTAATTTTTTTATTTATAAAGATATGTGTATTAGTAAATGCAGATCTACATTTTTATGTCCAGCAGTGCTGTGAATGATRCTGTCTTTTTCAGCAGGAGAGAGAAAAAGTGAATCAGGACACATTAYAAACATGATAATTAAGACAAAAAAGGAGCAACACTCTCTCTGGCCATTAATGAATTCATCTCTTGTCCCAAACCCAACTACGGAAACCACTGATCCATGGAACTGACAGAACTATTTTCATTTACTGCAATACCTAAAATTAGTGTAATGGGAAAAAAATTGGTATCATGATAYAGGGGTCATGATATATCACGATGTATTGCGATACTGTAAGCAAGGTGATATACAGTATGCCTTATTTAACCATAAGAGTCTACATTTAAACATCAGTACAAAGATCACACCATGCATAAAATTTGATTAAATTTTTAGATTTCAGATTTCATATTTATATGTAAATTTACACTACAAGAAAAAGGAAACAAAACGAAACTAGGTTAAATTCAGTTTATGTCTGAGCAAATAAGAAGAACACAGCAGTGAGAAGAATTGCATTTATATTTCACATTTCTTCTCACAACATCCATCTAATCATCCTTCTATTAATCCTTAATAAAAAATAGCCACAGTATCAGGAAATTAAACACCACAATAATTCAGTGAATCGGTATTGCCTTAGGCCTCTACATCCCTAAGCATAGTGGCAATAAAATTACAGGCTTAACTGGTTCGTTTGTGTAAATATGTGTAAACTTAATAAGTTTCGTTATAGATCAACTTTAAACATAGATCATCCCTTCCAGAAAGTTTATAAAACACTGCAGGCTCTGGAATGGTTCAACTCGAGGCTAACTCACTAGGACAGAGGGACCGGTTCTTTAACACGACCCACCTGAAAGTCAAACAAACTCACCTGCTGCAGCGGGTTTTCCATCACCTCCTCCCGGTGAGCCTCCTGCAGCGGCAGGACGGAAATGAAAAGTGTAGTCGCGCGAGGAGAACTTGAATTCGTCATGTTTTTGTCTTATATTGAAAGAAACGCTTCTTTATCAGAACTACCGCTGCCTCCTCATCTCTGTTTGGCTTTTATAAGTCCCAAACCTCCTCACGTCCACGCCGCTCCTCCGGAGGAAACTCTGGGGGAGTTCAGCCGCTGACCCGGGTCAGGAGCGCCTGATGGCTTCACGTGCTGCTCGGAAAACTGAGTTCTCAGTGAGCCGAGCAAAAATGACTCTTTTCAAGTGTTTATGTTAATCGTCATATTTTAGTCCACAGTGCCAATTACTTTGATATGTTCTTTGATGAATCTCACCAACTCGTGAACAAGGTTTTATATTTATAGCATATTTGCAGGTTTTGTTATGACAATCGACTTTACGATGTTTCCTGAAGGTGACGTCACCAGGACAGGTGTCTATCAGTCGAGGAGGAGCAGGATGCAAGAAAAACTCCCACTAAGTGACAAACTTTGTGTTTCCGCATTGCTGTGAGGATGTTGATCAGGTGATGTTTGGATCTAGATGACCTGAATATTAAGGAGTCAGCTACAGAGCCGGACTCTGGAACAGGCAGATTCCTTCACGGTGAAGCTGCCTGCTTGTAAATTTTCTTTCAAGGTCGCATGAAACAGCCGCTGGGTCTGAGAGGAGATTTATGGTGCTGGGGTTGAAATGGAAAGTGAATTTCATTTTCTGCTTGGCGGAGGATTTGAACGTCTTAGGCTGGCGCCTTGTGTAAAGCTTCACAGAAAGTGATAAAATCAGAGGAATAACAACACCAGGGTCCTGCTKCTACTTGGATGTGTATTAAAGAGTTATTTAGGGCATTTTGACGTTGTTTCTGTGGAAATTTATGAAGAATTAACATCTTACGTTATAGATAGCTCCTTAAGAATTTCAGCTTGGAGAAAAATATTTTGGGGCGGCTGTGGCGGAGTGGTTAGGGGAGCCATCCTGGAACTGGAAGGTCACTGGTTCAATCCCCCGTCCAGCCGTCTCAGTCGTTGTGTCCTTGGGCAAGACACTTCACCCACCTTACCTACTGATGGTGGTCAGAGGGTCCGGTGGCGCCTGTGCATGGCAGCCCCACCTCTGTCAGTGTGCCCCAGGGCAGCTGTGGCTACAGTGTAGTTTGCCATCATCAGTGTGAGAATGTGAGTGTGAATGGGTGAATGTCTGTTAGTGTAAAGAACTTTGGGGTCYGGRGGGACTTGAAAAGCACTCTATAAGTTCAATACCATTTACCATTTTAATTTTTGCAACAGCTAGTCCCGAGAAAACACAGAATATTTGTTGTCCTGAACCAACTTTAATCTAACAAATTACATAACATTTCATGCAAAGGCTATTTCACATCATTTTCTCCACATGGTTATTTTASTAGAATTCTGAGGATATTTGGGAGCATGGGCGGAGCTAGACGTTTTTGCAAGGGTGACATTTTTGCATGGGGWRACACAGGGKTGGCCAAGGTGTTTGTTATGGGGAGGCAAAGAAAACAACCCTGCATTTGAAAATTCAAGATTTAATTCACGAACATTCAGATGTCAGACAGGAAATCTGGTGAGACCTCTTGAGATCAAACGTGAGCTCAGAGTATATAACGTCAGGCGAGGAAGAAGCGATGGTGATAATTTGACGACTATTTTTAACAGAGAGAGAAAAAAACTAAAAACTGGACCTTCTAGTGCGCCACGGCAGCTGTTTTGTCTTCAGTATTTAGGATTCCCCTCTGTGTTTCTGACTGGCTGCACATCACATTCTTGTTTGTCCTCGAGGGACACCACACATGCTCCAAGACAATCCAACATGCTAACTATCCCTGATTGAGGTTGGAGTGCACATCCTTCTGAGCTGATTAGATCACTCTTAACACACGGCAGAAATATCTCATAAGTTTAATTTTAGAGCATCACGATAACTGGGCATCCTTATGKTTGTCAGAAGGGTAAAATAAGGTCAAAAACTGTCAAAATCATCTTACCGTGTGAACCAGGCACTACCTGTTTTCTCCCAAGTCAGCCTCTGAAAATGTTGTAAATACGTAATTTTCTTGTTAGTTCTTTACTTCAGTCTCTTGAGTCTTCCTGGGTTTCAGTGATTCATATTCTGAGAAATCAAACATATGATTTGTGTCATTTCTATGTGACCAGGAACAGAAAAGATSGGAATCTGACAAAGAATGGCAGGATGTGAGGGAGGAGTGATTACTGAACGATAACAGCTGGGAGACAGAGTGGTGTCACAAAGCTGAAGGTAAACAATGGGTAAACATGAAAATACAACATCTGAAACTGTTGGATTAAAGAAAAACCACAGACAGAAAGCTGATAACTAACAGGCTGAAAACAACCTGGCAACTAAAAACACTCATTCTGATACCAAGAACTGAGATCACGCTGAAAAAAAATGGGGGGGGGGGGGGGGKKKKGGGGGGTCCAGAGCTGGCAAGAAAACTAAAAATGAAACACATCAACAAAACATAATCACCATAATCATGATAGATCCACTCAAATCATATTGACAAGCTAACATTCACTCATCTGAACAGACTTGCTTCCAAAGCAGGTTTTATCATCTTTATTCTCATGCAAACACAGATATTTAAACTTTTACACGGCTGTAAACTTCGTATTATGTGATTATTTTGGATGAAATATCAAGAATTTCTGCCTGAWCTGACCTAACAGGCTGCATGGGAAGTGCTACAGCTAGCTGGTTCTGCAAATACCCACATTTGTTTTAAATAACAATGTAATTGAGCAGTGGTGGGCAGCACTRAYTTCAATATTAGTTGCACTAACCCTAAAGCACTAWCTCAAATATTTAGGTCCCCTAACTCTAAAACACTAACCCACTGAAAATTTTAGCAAAAGCTAATTCTAAAGCACTAAAACAACCCAGGAGACACGTGAAATATTATTCAGTCAACATGAGACAATATTTACAGAATATTATCACGTAGTACCCTTGGTGGRCCAAATTGGAGTCACCTGCAGGCCACATTTGGCCYGTGGGCCTTGAGTTTGACATGTGACCTTGTGGATAAGTGACAMACWWATRAACAAAATGTGTGACAGMTTTCACCCTCAACTGTGAAYAATAATGTTGATCAATAACATTTAAAGACCTCAKTTAGTGCTTCTAAATTTAACCCATAAATTTAGGAAGTGCTAATCCACTAAAGAATTTAAAAATTAGCAAAAGCCCTAAAGCACTAATCAAGAAATTTGTTCCCCTATTAGTGCTTTAGTGCTTTAGGGGAACTGTGCCCACCACTGTAATTGACAGTATGAGGTCTACAGAATAGTGTTTGCATTAACCGCTAATCCATTTTTTAAATTAAAGCAGTTTGAAGAGGTCTGGTCTCGGCTGTGTTTGTAGCCATCAGTTCAACATCAGTCCTGTCAGATGTAAACTCTTTATTTACAGAAAAAAAACACTTAAAATGGTCAAAATATCCCTTTAAATGGGAAATGTACATCAGACTGATATATCTTTTGCTTCAACTAATGAGAGAGAGAAAAATTCAATGCTGGAAACAAGCAGCACCATTCTAGTTTCGTTTAAATGTGATGCTGAGAGGAAACTGGCAGAGAGCCTGAGCCAGTGGAACTGGTTCATCTGATTTATTATTTTCTGCCTGTCATCTCAGAAACGCTCTCACCTCAACACAACAGGTGTGTCATTCATGAATATGCATATTTATACATTGTCCCTTTTTGAGAACCTCATCAGCACTRGCGAGGAAGACAAAAATAAAAAGGGCGATGAAGACGAGGACGTTCACAAAGCCTGGGGACAGAATCTGAGTCCAGCTGTGTTTCTGTTCGGGTCAAAGAGACAAGAGATAGGTTGATCTCATTGATCCTTTCAGTGACCGGAGGACCGACGAATACTTCTTTCATCTGTTGTTTGTCTCACAAACTAAATGAAACTCAGATCTGCAGATGGGTTTGTTGTTTTCTTTGTTCTGACACACACACAAATACACACATAGACACAAATACACAACTAGACACAAATGCACGTACATTCACATCAGAGGGAGCAGGTGGGCACACAGGGACCAATCATTGGGCCCCATGTCTGTTTCATTATCATATGCTGCCTAAAGACTAAAGCAGAGAATGTGTTTCCTTCTATGTGTTCATGAGTCTGTCTGTTACCAAATATCAGGGACAACTGGACAAGTTTTAGTGAAGCTTTTAGGAATCATTAAATGTACAAGTGATTCCACAGCCACCTGAGAAACAAAATCCTTATTTCACAAGCTTTTTTTTTTTTTTTCAAATTCCAGCGTACCTTTTGTAAGTGTGTTAGCAAAAATATTTCATGAACAAATTAACTGATTTTATTCAAACTTTCAGAAAAAAATCATCACATCAACTAAGTTTTGGAATCAACCCAGTTTAAGACGAACACCACGGCTAATTAACGAAACTCGATTAATTTGAGAAATATTGAGATAAATGTCATGTGGTAGTAGGTGATAGTCATCCTCAYGAGAGCTAACACATCTCACTAACTCTCTTACAATGTTGAGGTTGAGCATTTTATCAACTCCGAGGTTTGATCAAACCGTCTCTAACTCCGTCCTCCTCGGTCTAGTGATTTCAGTTTAAAGCTCTGGCATGAGGAATATGGTACTGAATGGTAAATGGTTCTGAACTTATAGAGCGCTTTTCAAGTCCCTCCGGACCCCAAAGTGCTTTACACCATTCACACTCACATTCACACACTGATGATGGCAAACTACACTGTAGCCACAGCTGCCCTGGGGCACACTGGCAGAGGTGGGGCTGCCATGCATCGGCGCCACCGGACCCTCTGACCACCATCAGTAGGCAAGGTGGGTGAAGTGTCTTGCCCAAGGACACGACTGAGACGGCTGGACAGGGGATCGAACCAGCGACCTTCTGGTTCCAGGACGACTCACCTAACCACTCCGCCACAGCCGCCCAAAAAGAAAAAGAAAAGCTGCATTTATTTTGGACATTAATCACTAATTATGACAACACATCTCAGTCAGCTGCATGGACCAAAACAAACTGTGGCATYGACTTCCTGTTCTGATCACTTTCCCAGAATCCTTTAAAAAAGCAGTTGTGGAACCAATACTAAAAAAGCAATCTTTAAACCCATCTGATCTGAACAACTACCGGCCCATTTCAAAGCTACCATTTTTT